CTGGGACTGGGACTGGGACTGGGGACAAACCCTCACCACAGACTGCAAGATAGGAAACAAGCCAGATGCACTGCAATTATCGTTATTACCATGACAACTCGTTTAAGGCAATGAAGCTGTCCGAGAGAGCAGAACCCACGCGCTATTCCTACACCCTTTTGAGAAGTCTGGGCAGGTTTTCCGTTGAGGGATATTAATGAGGACGACTGCAGGAAGCCCCAGACCTGCCCTCAGCTCTCTCACACCAGAGCATCTCCGCCGCTGCAGGTGTCTGGGGCCAGCGCCTCGTAAGAAGCCTTCCTCTGCCCACCGGACAGGCGCTCAGCACAGCAGGAGCCTGAAGCCCCCTGGCAAAGGCGTTCCTGGTCCTCCTCTTCCTCCTCAGGCGCAGAGCTGTCCCCAGCATCTATCTGGCACACGCACACCTCGATGCCAGAGTCGCCCGTCACGTGCCGACGGCGGGTGTTCATCTCCTCCCCGGAGGGCGGGGCCTCAGGCGGCTCCGCCTCCTGCTGCGTCGACTGGCCAGATGCCCCGGCGTCGTCAGCTGGCAGGCCGGCCGCTTGCTCCCTGACAGGCCCCGCCCCCCCCGGGGACCCCAGCAATGATGGCTCTACAAGATGTGCGACGGGAAGGACCTCAAGGGGACTCTCTGAGTATGGTGGTGGCGGGGTGGGGGGGTGGCCCACTACCTCCTCGTAATCCGGCAGCTTGCAGTCAGTCCAGAAGCCTAATAGAAGCGAGAGGAGATTCAGCTTACAGTCCAGCATCATGACAGTGGAAGCAAAAGAGCACAACAAACTTAGTTAATAGAGGTGCTCTCTTTTTAGTGGGCAGTAGGAGGCTCTATGGGCCAGAACTCGTGAAGGTCGCTGGTTCAAGTTCCATGGGTGTCAAAATAATGCCACCGTTGGACCTGCACCTCAGCTCCTCCAGGGACCTGCTGACCCTGCTCTCTGAACATCCCTTGTATGTTGCTTTGTATAAAAGCAGATTCTAATTAACTATTAAATAGTACACCCATAGAAATACAATAAAACATTGAGCACCAGCAAGTACCTATCAGAGTTAAGGAACACCACCAAAACAAGTACTTTCCACCCCCAGCGACAAAAGATTTGCCAAAACCTACAAAATGAAATGGTGCAAAAGACACAAGGCTTCAAATCTACCGCCAAATGTCTTTTTGAGACACTGCAATGTCTGCGTCACCAGCTCAAAGCAAAAATACTCCACTGGATGGCCATCACCGGACACCAAACTCTACGCTCTGCCCTAAATTACCGGGATAAGAGCCAACAGCTGCGTTAATTAATAGGCGGCGACACACACAAGATGAGCCCCTGGATGTAACTCCAGTTTGGATTTCAGAAATGAGACCTCCAGTGTTCGTGCCATTGGGATGATCTGGTGTCTGCGTCTGAAACGGGCGTAAACGGGCACACTCACGTAGACTGATGGGCGGCGGGGAGACGAAGGAGCTGGAGGCGCCCTGATAGGCCATGAGGCTGATCTCCCGCTGCCGCTGCTCCTGCTGAAGACGCATTTTCACCCGGCGGTGGCGATATGCGCAGCAGCAGCTCAGCATGATGACCAGAGTCCACACCAACCAGAACCCTGGAGGGACAGAAAGGGAGACTCGTCACACCCTCAGGCTCACCAAACGATAGGATGGATGGATCCCGAAGGGAACTCAGGATTCGTAGAGGGATAAGAGCCAACAGAGATTGCTAAAACGATTCGTAAAACACAATCAAGTTTAGCAAGTGACTTAAAGTTGCCCTAAAAAGTGAAATGACGTGGAGAAAGCAAGTAAACAAAGATGATGTCAGAACAGTGTCATAGGGAGTGGTGTCAGTTTCTGGGACAAGGATGCCTCAGAGCTATCCATTAAAAGTAAACAAATTTCATAATTAACACAAATATATCAGATGTACAAGGAATGACAAAATAAAGATAAAACCATGCAAATCAAACCAACCAAGCCATGGTAGAGAAGTTTAAAAATAAAAAAATAATGCTTTAAGACGTTTTTGTTTGGAATGTGGGGCAGAATCAAATTATTTAGAGCGTAACGAACTTGTTCGAGTCTAATACACCTTCCAAGAAATTCAGGAGGGGGATATATATCATTATTTCAAAGCACGATCGACATGCACACACGGGGGGAGGGAGTTTGGGAGAAGAGAGGACGTGAAACGGCAGACAAAGAAGCCGGAGCGGGGCACCTACACCACAGCTCGTAGTAGTAGGTGCAGCAGTGCGTCTCTCCGCAGCAGTAGCCCATCTCACAGCGGTACTGCTCATTGTTGACCCCGAAGCAAAACTCCTTTCCCTGCACGACACAGAGAGCAATTTCCAACCCTTTGAAACTGAAAATGAAGGGGGGGATGAGTGCTTTACTCAAAAGGAAACTGGGCCAGAGAGATTAGACGATAACGTCCCTTTGTTTCTACCAAGATGAAACCGAAACGTCAGAAGGCACAGATTATATTATTGTGTGAAAAATGATTTTTTTTTGTTAGTACACCACTTTTGGGGTGGATAATCCACCTCCCCAATCCCGATTAAATTAGGCAATCAACCTTTTTTCCACCAAAGCTACATTTTTCTAAATCGAAATCCTGGCTGCTTTCAGGACTTACAACCCCTTTCACCAGAACCGTTTTCTTGACACATTTGCGCAGAATCCACAATGTATTATAGCTATTATATTTAAAAAGCCTCTTAAATTAGATTAGCCAAACTTTCCCTTCTTTGTTGCCATACTTGCACGGGCACGGATAATGGGGGGGGGACATCACAAAATAGCCAACAGGCTAACAGCGACCACAGCGGGACAAGCTAACCGGCTGCAGGTAGCCCTGCCATGCTTACGGTGCCCGAGAAAAAATGGTCAACATGAAATCAGAAAAAGACCAGTTTATTGTCGACCATTTTAAAATGTTAGCCAACAAAGGCGAGCCAGCTAAGCATGGCTACCCAGCCAGATGACAGGAAAACTGCTGAACTGCTGCCAGCACAACAATTCAGCTACAGCATTTCCATATAACCGAATAACAGCCTCACCAGCCCCCATCTTAGTTCAATTTAATCATGGCCAAACTGTCTGGCTATGCAAAAAATGTGTGTGCTTCACCCCGCCAGCTTTTCCCCTTTCATTTTACTGTAAGTGCTGGCACTGATGGAAAGTTGGAACTGGGCAAGTGATGCCAATTTCTTTAACGAGCTAAACAGCAGCACGAACAATGTATATTTATTTTATTTTGTTCTGCGACATCTCTTCCCACCATAAGCCAGGCCGTCGAGAATACGCCATCGTTTGTGGTAAATAAAAACTAGCGTCACCAAACTTTTTTGAGCCCATGTTCCTTTGTGACAACGGAAACGCATAATAGGCGGGCCCCTCATCGCAGCGATCCCCGCACTAAAGTGAACATCCATGCCGACCATGGAACGCGATAGCCGGCTTACCTGCACTAGGTAGGTCCCGGTGCAAAGCAAACCTACGATGTGTCCCAGCGTTTTATGCGGCATATTTCTGGGTTGCTCGCCGATCGCACAGTGGAGATCATATAGCTAGAAAGCCGAAGCTCGTACTAGACAAAGATGTCGGTTATTACCATCACACTAGCTATGCAGCTAGCTAGTGGCTCGCCAGCTTGCTAGCTACATTATTTGCTTTCGCTCTCACAGGAAGCTTGATCACTGTTACACCCAGCAAAGCGACAGACCGAACAACCAATAGAGGGCGTGACATTGACACACAACAGGTGAGAAAGTTAAAGTCATCAAAGAGGTTCGATGTCCTCAGCATAACATAAAGCTACCCCATATGCATGTCAAGTTACAGTAATTATAGTAAGTAATTATATAGTAATTGCACGAAGATGCAATGCAGTCGTCCTGCCCTGTGTAGTTTTTTTTTTCATTTTGTTTATTTTAAACAATATACGCTGAGATCGCAGATACTGTACTCAAGATGTAGAATACTCATTATATTATAACATATAAATATGTTCAGAATTAGACAGTAGTAATATTAATAACAGCCTAGAAATTGTAATAAAATACATTTTCACTGCCTTTCTGGGGAATTCCTCTACCCTTATATTAGATTTTTGCGTTCTAAAATGCACTGAGATTCTTATCCCAATATATTTATCATTAAATATATCGTTTTTTAAAATATCAAGCTGGTTATACGCCAATTAAAACTAAGAGCTGTTTTGAAGGAGTAAACTTACTTATCTCAAATGTATCCTTCCCTTAATGCGTCAATGAGGATATCGATAAGCTTTTATCCTGACCATCATTATGTACTGTTACAGTTGGTTTTAATAATCCATATAACATGGTGATCCATTATGATTTGATAGATTGTTTTGTAGTTATCTCGACTCCTAAAGTCACGTTGTCAGTAGTTAGTACAAATTTCACAGCTCAGTCGGTCCCATTAGCTGTATGTCAGAAACATGGATGTTCAAATATATTTTAATTATAAAACACTTATATTTGCTACGTTTTGATATATCAATTACACATGTTTTTAAAGGCAAAGCGAACGGAACTGAAAGCGGTTCGGCTTCTGCCGGTTGACGCGGGATCGCAGAACCGGCGGAACTGCTCGCTGTTTACGATGACGTCACGGCTGCCATAGTTACAGGGAGCTTGGGCGGCTCGGGGAGGCTGTGCCTGCTGGTGAATCCCACCGAGCGACCTCGCGATCCAGCCGAGCGGACCGAACCATGGTGAGTGGCGGGATACTTTCCTGATTCGTCTATGATCTCCGTTATCGCATATTATTTGTTTTAAATAAAACGCTATCCGGATGCGTCCTCATGTTGAATTAATCGATCGTGTCCCCCTACCCCGTTCCTGGTACCTGCCGATTTAATAATGACTTTCAGTAGCTATATCGCTTGATGTATATACGTATGTATTGGTTACGGGACTCGAATTGCGTACTGATGGCGAGGAACTGTTATAGAAAGATTCTTGAAATATTACTGAGTCCAGATGTGTGTCAACTTTGTGCTCTGCCCCTCGTTTGTTAAGATTGTGCCAGGCTGTGTAGCTAGCAGGCTAAATAATATGGCAGCATGGCCTAGCTGGCTTAGTACAATTGCATCACTTAAGTGGCTGATCTGTCGAAGAGCTGCTCGCCCGTCCGTCTTCGCCTCACTTGTTGCGGATCTACTTTATTCATCTGGATCTACAGGGTGAAGTCAGTTTTGGCCCGTTATTTTATATAGCTAACACGTTACATTCGGAGGGACGATGGGTAGATTTTAATACCTGAGTTTATTTAGTGCTGCAGTCTATCATAATTGTTGGATCAAACTAAAAATAATGTGTATTTGAGTCTTATTTTACTTGTTACATTCAATCAACTTGTTGTGGGAGTCTTTGCTTGTGACTCGCATAATACTCTAATGGGCGTCTTAATCATGCGAGTTATGTCATCGGTATCTGACAGTTCAGCAGTCGGATACTGTGTCCTTAAACTGTACATCCAGTCCGTGCCCTAATATAAGCGTCTTGGAATTTTAGAGGGACTCTGTTGTTTAGAAATCCGATTGTGCATGTAGCTCTAGAATGTTCTTCGCATGCGATCAAGTATAGGAATAGGATAGGAGAGAGAAAAGTCACGGATGAATGTCCCTAATTATCTGAGTGATATTCACATGTTAATGATGGTGACTGTTCTTTCAACCGCCTTCCGTTGGCTGGCAAATTTAGTCCCACTGGGTAATTCATACACCAGACAAAAACATTTGCATTTTAAAAAAGTTAGAAAGGTTTCTTGGTGAGCATGAAAATGCTAGTATCCACCATACAAGAATGTTTTCAATAAATTATATAAACTGATATTTTCAGATATATATTTATATGGGAACGTACATGTAATAATACGTCACGTGTCACATAAAATTAGGATAATAGCACCTGCAAATTGAGAAACGCAGACTGAAGACCTGGTGTTCATTTTTAGTAAACCTCAAAAATATTAATTAACGCAGTAGTTAATTTGACTCTGGTTGTTCAAACACTCCTAATGCTTCGTAAACTCCAAACGCGCTCGTGCCTCCAGCTGTCCAATCAGAGACTGCGTGACAGCGAGAGGCGGAGCGCTGTTGGCGTCTCTTTAATCTGCGACCGCCATGGCAGCGCCAAGCCTTTGAGTGATCGGCACGGATTGGGCAGGGCGTACTTCAGACGGGGAGTCACCTAGGGTCATTTCATCACTGCATCACTGAAGCCTGATTTCTCAAGAGCAAGCCACAAAACCTTTTGCTGAATGCTGTTGTGTAATACATCTAATTTAACGTGACTGGAGACTTATATCACAGTCCTACTGTGACCACTCCTGGCCCTATTATTCAAATGAAATAAGAAGAATTCCATCCATCCACTTTCCGAATCCACTTATCCTATTCTGGGTCGCAGGGGTCCAGAGCCTATCCCAGAGGCTACGGGCACAAGCCAGGGAACAACCAAGGATGGGGTGCCAACCCATCACAGGGCACAGTCACACACCGGTCAGTCACACACGCACGCCTATGGGCAGTTTGGTAATTCCACTTGGTCTCAGCATGTTTTTAGACTGAGTGGGGAAACCGGGGGAAACCCCACAACAACAACAGCATGCAAAACTCTACACACGGAGCCCTGGCGGGGGCAACAGTGCTGACCACTGTACCACCGTGCCGCCCCTAAGCAGAATTAATATTTGAAATAATTATAATGATTTAAAAAATAAAAAAGTAAACCTGCATTCATCCATTCCATTCATACATTTTTCATAATGATTGATCAGATACACAGATGTGGTGAAGCCTGTAACGCCACCAGCGGAAATTCCATGTACATTCCTGTCACTGTACTTGGCAAATAAAACTGATATTAATCCTAGAGCCTGCCAGACAGCTGGTGTTTTGATTGTAATATTTTTGGCTCAAACTTCAGATATCGCTACTTATTCAATGTGGTGAGCCCATCTTGGGAAACACAAGGCATGGTAACAGCCAGGGGCAATGCGGATGGACACGGAGAATGCAGGCAATTACACACCAGTGCCAATGTAGTCTTTAGCTTGGGGGAGGAAACTGGGGTGCCGGTAGGGAATTCCAGAGAGGACATGAAGGCAGGATGGGCCACGAGCCCCGTCCCTTAGCCCCCACGCTAGCGCCCGTCTGGTCTTTCTTACACCTCCCTGCTTGGGTGTAAGCAGAGCCTCGCGTCCGGCGTTTCACTCCAGCCTCCCGTTACAGCGGAGGAGGGCGGCTGACGTCTCGCCCCGTACATCAGTCACCGTCTTCTGTCCGCCGAGGATCTCAGGGGCTGCGTCTGACAGCTGCCTTTTCATAGCTTCCCTTAACAGCAACATCCTCCTGGCAAAGATGGAGATGTTTCATTATTCATTTAGATTGTATGCATGCGCTGCGCGCACGCTGTGCCGTTTCTGTTACCTGTCAGTAATTTACACATGGAAACGCTGAACTTTGACATCTACTCATATAAAACAGCTCTGGCATATGGAGTTCCGGACACAATGGGAGTATCGTGGTATAAAAGAGAAATTGAGGCGTACTGACAGGGAAGAATTTTAATCCTGAAGCCATTTTGGCCTTTAGCTAAGGTTTGTTTTGCTGTATTAATGGTAGGAAAGGGTCTAGTTGACTCCGCTGCTGATGTTTGTCATGCATGAGGGTCCGTCATGTTTTGTGCCGCAAACTAGACAGCATTAAGCCAAGAAGCAGGTGACAGGTGACACCTGTGTCACCATGGGGTTATTTCTTGGCTGATGTCAGCATCAGTTGTACCTGAGGGATCACTGATGTAGAGGAGAGGTGAGGACATGTGGCAAAGAGGTGGGAAGAATTGTGAATATAGGCCCACAGAAAGTCAAGTCCTAGTGAGTTGTGGTGTGACCCGTCTAGAATGTGATCCAACTTGACCCTGTCCTTCCCTGGATAGGCTCTGGAAGCACATCCAGATTAGGTTAAGGGCTGTTGAAGATGGATGGATGGATGGATGGATGGATGGACGAGTTGATTGATTGAGTATATTGCTCTGGATTCTCGCTGTTCTGCAGGGCTTGCTGTCAATCCTCCGGAAGCTGAAGAGCTCTCCGGACCAGGAGGTGCGTATCCTGCTGCTTGGCCTGGATAATGCGGGCAAGACCACCTTGCTGAAGCAGCTGGCTTCAGAAGATGTGAGCCACATCACACCCACGCAGGTAACCACGCCATTACACAGGTGCCTCCTCGGGTCGAGATTGGGGTTTCCCTGGATCGGGCTTGGACCCCCTCTGCTTTCTCCCTAGGGCTTCAATATAAAGAGCGTGCAGTCTCAAGGCTTCAAGCTCAATGTGTGGGACATCGGGGGGCAGCGAAAGATCCGGCCCTACTGGAGGAACTACTTTGAGAACACGGATGTGCTGGTGAGCTCCGTTGGTGGCGTTAAACGCTCTCGACTCATATTCCCAGCACCCTGCTGTATTTGTTTAATATTCCTGAATCTGTAGCAGCCGTACGGGAGACGGATCGCCCGTGGCGAAAACCATACTCACGAGAAGTGAACCATGGCAGAGATACTCTACTTGGCTGTCGTACAAAGACCACAGCCCCAGAAAAGGCATGAAACCTAGTGAGAAACAGAAACGGAGCTGTGCTGTGTCTTTTTTTTCACGTGGGGGAGCAGACCCACATGGGGTGGTCTCAGGTGATTCATCAGAACGAACACATCCCTTCTCTGACTAGGCCACAGGAAGGGTATTGGGTTTCGCTGCTTGAAAATGGCGAGCTTGGTTGTTCTCATTGCCTAGGTGACAGAATCATGGCGAGTCGTTGTCCGGGTTGGTGTTTCTAGCTCATGACTTGGAGGAGGGCCGTTTTCTAAGATGATAAGTTAGTGATGGTGACCGCATATTCTCTCACAAAGCCCTTTTTGCTGTGGTCTCCATCCTGACAGATCTACGTCATTGACAGTGCTGACAGGAAGCGCTTCGAGGAGACAGGCCAGGTAGGAGAACCATCCAATGCAGCGTGTGGAGCCAGTGGGATGGGGAGTGGCGGTTTACGCAGGAACAGAATCCATAGGAACAGAATCCATTACTACAGTGTCTCGTCATTGTGGCAAAATTAGAGCAGATTCATTTATAACTGGATGGAAAATAATGTTGAGGTAAATGAAAAGCGGGATGTCTGCAGCAGGCCACCCGGGACAGATGTGGGAGTTTCCCAGAATGCATAGCGTCACTCTCCATCTCCCCGTCACCCCTCCTCCCCAGGAACTCGCCGAGTTGCTGGAGGAGGAAAAGCTGAGTGGGGTGCCCGTCCTGGTGTTCGCCAACAAGCAGGACCTCATGACGGCTGCCCCGGCTGCGGAGATCGCCGAGGGCCTCAACCTGCACACCATCCGGGACCGGATATGGCAGATCCAGGCCTGCTCTGCGGTCACCTCCGAGGGAGTGCAGGTATTGCGCCTGTCCCACAGACAGGCACTGAACTAGTGATCACAGTTATTCAACATTGTTATTTAAAATTAGGACAAAGATGAGAACGACCTTTTATTTACATTTGTTACCAGTTTATGATGTCCTTATATGCGTTTATTAAAGGCACCATATTATGATCATTTTCACTTTTCATTATTTTGTTTTGGGGTCTGCTAGAAGAGATTCACATGTTTCAGTGTTCCAAAAACACATTATTTTTGTCATACTGTACATCTCTATTCACACTTAACTCGGTCTGAAACGCTCTGTTAGAGCTTTAAGCCCCACCCTCTTATGAGCCCAGTGTGCACTGATTGGTCAGCTTGCCCTATTGGTCAGCTTGCCCTGCACATTCTGCCCCTGTCTTGCAGTCTGCAGACAACTCCATGCAGGTAAGCAGCCAATAAGGATTGTGCTACAATGTGACCTCACCGTATTATGGAAGTAAGGGCTGCAATTTCAACAATGCGTTTCAGGCAGATTAGAGAATAGTAGTTTCTGTGGTGAGAGTTACTCTCTTTGGCATGTACTTTAGGCTTTAAGACTTTGCAGACCATTTACATGCACATATAGCTATATAACACACAAAAGGAAAGGGGAAAAGCATTATCAGTCCCCTTTAAACTTAAGTGTATTTTAATGGAGCATAGTGGATATTAAATAAAACCTTATTGTTTAATATTTGTCTTGATAATTTTCGAGTCCGGGTTGCCTGAGTTAGTCTTGTTAGTAAAGGGATGTATGCTGTGCTTCACTCACATAATCCTGCATCTGGAAGGTTGTTGGGTCAAATCCAGCATAACGACATCGCTTTAAGGTCCTTAAGCAAAACCCTTAACTCCAAAAACTGAGGCAGAAAATGGCCAGAACACCATTCTCTTTCTCAGGATTATGTATCGAATACTTTTTTCAAGAGTACAAAAGCAGTGCCCTTACCAGTTCCTGGTGACAGCTGTAGGTCCCTAAAGCATTAAAAACCATGATCAAGGAGCTGAAATCATCTGTCTTCCTCTTTCCCAGGACGGCATGACGTGGGTGTGCAAGAACATAGCAACCAGGAAGAAATAATGACTGGGACCTGCAGAGATTGTCTGTGTGCGATCTCCAGCAGCTCAACACAGGAATAAAAGGAACAGATAGTATTTATTTTGTATAAACGGACTGCAGCCCTCATGTTAGTGTCACTAAGTGTTTGTCAGCTATGACCACTGGGAACTGTATGATTTGTATGATACAGTAAGTTATTAGGCTTAAAGATATCTCTACCTTCATAAACAGTACGTTACACTCAACATCATGACAGACATTCCAACAGATGAAGGCTTATAGTGAAATACAGTATAGACATCTCGACCATATATATATTTTTTCCAATAAGATAAAAGTAGAATGAGTATGACTGACTGTCCTTTAGTGTTTGTGCAGTCTTACATTCTGTTTCATCTCTCTTACTTTTTATAATGGACAGCGTGAGGTTCCAGATGAAAATGTTTAGATTTTGACTGGTTTTGTAACGAATAAACTGCTGAATTAAAACAGTGTTTCTTTTCCTCGAAAGAAATCGCTGCGTATGTGCGGTTTTTGTGTCAGGTATTAGTCGCTTGTTGTAGTCGTTTTATGTCAGTAGAGGGAGCCATTTACGCGCAGTTACTTTTATGCCTCGCGCCGATACAGCGACGTTTACAATTTTATTCCTGGGAACGTGCTACGATTGTGCGTGGTTTGATGTATTTCTTCTCGGCGTAGCTAGGCAATATACAGTATATGACAAAAGGTTAAAAGAAATTGTGTTAGGTCGGGAATGGGTCTGAGTTATGTGGTCGTGGGTTTATGGGATAGAGTGTCTTTGGATAAACATAGGTTTGCTCAAATGTCTTTTGTTTAAGAGAGCCTGTCACTGCGAACCGGAAAATCGTCAGAAATTAGTTATGCTAATTTTGTACATGATAATCATTCTTGACTCAGATATACAGAAGACCAAAGTCTATATGTAATGGCCGATTTTAACGAACCGCTGTAATATAACATACTTACACCCCTCATGCATACGCAGTAAGTTATTGGGATACCGCAGCAATTCAATTACTTAAGTGTACACCTTGTTCGCCATGATTTACCGCCAAGAAATTGCCTTTTATTGCCTTTTGCCCAAATCTACCCTGTCGACTGGGGTTGAATGCTCCACTGTCCTCATAGGACATTTACATAGAACCTCTTTCCAAGTCTCTAATAGACCTTCAGTACAATTTGCATTTATATAGCTCTCTTCCTACCCGACATGGTTTGGGTGGTTTGCCATGATAAAACAAAACTCCTCTGGCCTTGACCTGCTATATTCTGCCGGGCTGCGTCCCCGATATTAGTTTAGGTAAGCTTAGTAACAAAGGAGTCCCAGAACCTTTTGCAGCAAGAGACCCCAGAGTGTGTTGGCTCATCTCAAGGTGATGTATGTGGGCTGGGGTCTTTGAAGTAGGAGTAATCACTGTCTCCAAGCACAATGCAATCCAGGTCAGAGAAGGTCTTTGCTGACTACAGTATTGGTTTACCTTAATGTGCTTTTATTTAATCTATATGAAAACATGTTAATTGTTGCAATATTATTCTAGCTTTGAAATAACCTAAGAACGCATGAAGGTCTCTTGGTGGGCTTGGTTGAGATGGACAAGTATTCCACCTTTGCTGAGTGGCACATGGAAGTGTTTCTGCTGTGGGGTCTTCTCCAAAGCAGACGAAACTCAAAGCTCAGCTGATATTTTCTTCTTCTGTTCCACTTGGAAAGTACTAGCAGTGGCTGCGAATAAGTTTTAAGGCACCTGAGTTTGTGCACTAAAGATAACTGTTAAAATCTAAGAAGGGAGTCTGCTGGTCTGCTTTGCACAAAGTACCTCAGTAAATGTCCCCTTATATGATGGGTGACATGGTGGGTGGAAAAGAGTGCTGTTGCTTCACCTCCATCACTCAGCCATGCAAGTTGGAGTTGCAGTCTAGCCCTGTGTGGGAACGTTCTCTCCATGTTCATCTGCATTTCCTGCCACCGTCCAGACAGGTGAATCAGGTGTCCCAACAATGGGCCTATTTCCAGTGCAACCTTGATTGGTTAAGCATTCAATAAAAACATATGGAGAAACGAGCAAAGTCCCTAGTGTCTCCAATGAAAAACGGCACTCGCTAAATAGTATCTTTCGGCATTATCTGTTTATAATAGATCAGTGAGAAGTTAGCAGTGAATTGTATCTGCTGAAAAGATCATTTCTAATTGGCTGTTTAAAAAATGTCCATTTTGACATAAGGCAGAAAATGTGATGGCCCTCATGCGTGACGAGTAATAAAATCTCCCTACAGACACTGGGTGCTCTCGTCATGTTAACTTAATCATTAACATCTGATCCTTGAAATGCAATAAGCAAAATAAACAGCGCTCAATTACCATAACTACAGAAGCGACTGAGATATCTTTTCTTGAAGAATGGCTCCTTAACAAAATCTCAAAATGAGAACGTCGAGGACCAGCGTGCGCCCCACCAGCACTGCGCTGCAAGCCACTTAGGTCCTCTTTACATGTCTGATCCCTCTCCTCTTTCACCACTAACCCTTCAGAAACGCAAAGCACCCTGACCCCCAACAGGCGCGGGGGGTTGCGGGGGGAGACATAAATCGGGGAGTTTTCCTAGCGTCGGCCCTCCAACCCGAAAGCCCGTCGGCTCTCTGCTCTGGGGAGACGTGAGACAGATTGACAGCGACAGCAGAAAGACTGAGGGAGACGCTGGGACTTCATTAAAACGTTCCACCCTACACGCTCTCAGGCCCCAAAGCCCTGGTCAGCCAGCATTACCTCTCAGTAACAGCAGCTTACGATGCCACTGCTTTTTAATAGCTGTTTTGTGGCCTGTACCTCCCGCCCAGACTCACTCTCACTGTCTGCTTGAACACACTGGCGACTCTCCACTCTCACCCACTGCCTGCCCACCATCCAGGCCACCTCAAAACCGTGCCCTGACCGCCCCGGGCGCCTGGCTTTCGGCATCTTTGAGTGAACCTATGTACTGCTGGCTCCCTCACCGCCCAATAAGAATGAGACTCACAGCAGACTTGCAAGCTGCAAACAGGCGAAACACTGGTCTTAATGTGAGAAGTGAGATGCCAGACAGAATTGGCCTACGGGCCTCCAGTCTCAATGAAGCGCCTTGTCGATCTTTGAAAAGAGCCTTTTTCTTCTTGCTGTTCTTTTTTATTTTATTATGATCTACCCCTTCAGATGACTCCTGCTTGGTCACCCCCCCAGAAGCTTTTACAGCCCGGGAGGTGTCTGCTCCCTGGGGACGCCGTGGACTTGGGCCTGCTGTAATTAGGGACGATATAAATTGCACCCCCACCTTCCAATCCCACCACCTCACAATGATTTGTGGCACTTCCAGCAGGGGGCAGGGGGGCAGGGGGGCTGGGTCCCAGACTGTGGCAGAGGCTTCACACCCTCGTGTGGTTCAGGGCGGGACCAGGGGTCAGAGAGGATGCCAATTCTCCATTTACAGATAAGGCGAAAGGGCGGGATTAAATAAAACCAAAGAATCTGGTCACAATTCATGTATATACAACCCATTGTATATAATAAGTCCTCATAATTCTTTGGACGTGTGCAGAATACTTTAACATACATGAAGTATATTATCCATTGTAACCCACGGTCACTTTATTAGTTGAAGCATGAATTTTTAATTTGTGTTGAGTATTTGTTTCTGAGTTTACCAGGGGTCGACTGTGTTCTCGAGTTTAATCCTCACTCTTCATGAATTTTACTTATTTACGGTTACTCACCCTCGCAGGCAACATGGTCCGTCAACTGCCTAGGAGTTAAGCTTCTGGTCTCTCGGGTTTGCATCAAATCCCTTTGAACGGTCAAATCCATCCTCTTCAAACAACTCCTAAGCCCAGAAGCACCGGCAGCTCCTCTTTTGCAGTAGGATACGTCCAAGTTGGCACTTAACGCATGTTTTCTCTGGTTTCTGTAGGAAAGACGTGACTACAAAGGTAGCAGGATCGCAGGGCAGTGCTGAAGTGTCCTCCACTGCTGGTGAGGAACTCCATTCTACCGTACGTGTGCCCTGAACTGCGAGTTGCTTTGAACATTAAATTAGTGGGCGTAAACATAAACAAACTAACACAGCGAGGTAGCAGACTGTTGGAAACCACTTTTATTGAGTGGTATGTCTCCCTCGCTCTGAGATAAGGCTTCACTCAGTTTTATTGCTGGTTTCCTTGATAACAGTTGCTGTGACCAGCTGGAGAATGCAGTGAAGGGACAGTGACCAGGAGTCCCGCGAAACCTAAGCGGATGAACGACCGAGGACCCCAAGCATGGTGGTGGTCGGGGTCTCCGGGAAGTCTGGAAGCCGCTAGCCGCTTGGAGTGGGGGGGAAGGCACAGAGGTCGTGCTCTTGACCCCCTGCTGACCACTGACCCCCCCCAATCCCCAGTGAGCTAGAACGGGCCAGGGAAACAACAGTTGTAAAAAAAAAGAGAGGGGGCATACTTTACTGACTGATTGCCCTCATTTCTTCACTGATCTTTTTCCAATTTCCCCCACTTTCGGTCTGTCTGTCCACAACTCATAATTTGACTTTTTATCACCTCTTTCTCAGAGAGAGACTGGCCACGATCAGTCATTACAGCTCACAATGACACCTCCTCACCGATGCATGACAGGAATGGATTTCCACATTTGACTCAATCCAGGGGGTTACTTTAGTGTAACAGATTCGATATTTTTCAAATGAGCCAAGTTATATACATGCAGGCAGGATGAGATGATCTATTGCACAGTCTTAATGGATTTTGTCGACTTCAAAGACTGGGTACTCGCAGAAAAAATGATATAATACCTTTGATAAAAACATATAATTATACATTTGATTAGCTGGGCAATTTATGCCAGTCACATTTTCTCTGTGTTGAACGGTGGTCGAAAATTGTGTTACAATCCGCAAATATCTCTGGCAACCACTGGGGGGGGGGGGGGTTGGGTCCAGGAACATTTAGAAGACAACAGTGGTGAATGGCCACTAGCTTGATGTGACTGAAATCCGGAAGCGTCCATGTATTTCTTCATTATAACAATCCATAAAGTATCCTGCGAAGGGCGTCTGGCAGCCAGATAAATACTAATGATTTTCTGAAAATGAATTCAAACTGACAGGATAAACCAAATTACTTTGTACATGCATGAGCTCCAGTTCACACTTTGACATACCTGCATGCATTCATTATTAAATATTGTTTTAAAGAAAGACTTCTAATGAAAAAAAATGTAGTATACATATATAGATTTTAGAGTCTACACATCTACACTACAAGTTTAGCATATATATATATATATATATATATATATATACACACATAGACAGATACATATATGAACATCAAGTGAGATGAGAAAAAAAATGGGGGGATATTGTTGGTGTTTTTATTTTGTTTAAATACCCCCCCCCCCCCCAAATATTTTAATGGCCTCTGTTTGTGTTTTCTGAGTGTCCATGTATGCA